CCCTTAGAAAGGTATTTTCTATTTCTATAGGAATGATTTCTCTCAAGGCTCCCATAAATACCTACGAATGCTTTGTTAATTAACATCTTTCTTGGTGATTACAGATGCTTTGGATTTTGCTCTGAGAAAAGTGCTATGTGTTAAGGAGAGTTTACCTTATCTCCGTGTTTCTCAGTGTTTATATCTATTTACTTTGCTGTAAGAGCCGAAAACGAAATGAAAGGTTATATCAGTATAGATGATACAGAAAACTAAAAGGAATGATAAAAAAAATCCAAGTATGCTATTTTTCGATAAATTTCGAAATATTTCGTTACATAGTGATAACTGTTACCATCCCTTTCAGAATTTTTGCCTGTATTTTTATAAAAAAAAAGGGGTTAGAAATGAGTTACATTTAATTTAAATATTATTAAAAGATAAAATATTATTTGTAATAAAAATAGCTAAATACATAATTTTTACAACTGCATTTACTTCTTACTGCTGATAATGTCAAATAATGCCCTAAAACAACAGGGTTCTCAACCGGTGGTACGCATACTACTGGTGGTACGCAAGAGAAAAATAAGTGGTATGCAAAAGAAAAAGTATTTTTAACTATTAAATTCAAAAATCTCGTAAAGAAAAATTAAAATTGATAAAAATTTTCTGTAATAGAACTCGGGCGGAAGATTTCAAAAATAATACACTTCTTAACTTTTGTCTGAACCGAAACATAACTTTAAAGGCATTTCAAATAAAGCTATTAAATTTTTATTGCTTTTTTGCACAACCTATTTGTGTGAACAAGGTTTTTCTTCCATGTTATATTTAAAAATTAAATGCAGAACAAAATTAAAAGTGGATCCTAATTTACGGTTAAAACTACCTGAAATAAGACCAGTCATAAAGAAACTGATCTCTCGCAAACAGGCCCAAATTTCACACTAAATTTTAGAATTAAAGTATTATAACTTAAATTTTGATAATAAAAATGGTAACTCATTTTTAATCTAAAATATATTTTATGCATACTTAATACAAATAGCCAATAGGTTGTGCAAATGGCAAAATAAATTAATTTTTAATATTTCTATTGAGAAATTGAAAAATAATCATTGTAAAATGTAGCAGTGGTACTTAAGTTTGTAGGAATTCCTCACTGTGTAGTTCTAAGTTACTGTTGGAATTGAAGAATTTTAAGAACTGATAAGCGAATAATCGTTCGAGTTCGTGTGACAGGAAACAACAAGATAGAAGGGTAAACTAACCCTTTAATATTCCAACTAAAGTTTAACAAAACTGCGTCTTGGAGTATATAATAAAGCCGACACTTGGGCTTGAACTTAAGAGACTAAGAATTAACTAAACTAATCTTAACTAAAGAGATATAGCCGAAGCTATCAAGATTTTAACAGAGGTGGCCCCTTAACGTTAATAAACTGCGAAGCTATCAAGGGCCTAAAGTACGGCAGAGCCTGATAATAGCTTACGAGAGAGTAGCCTAAAAAGGGCGGACGCGTGCAGACAGAATACCTGGTATCTCTCTCTCTAAGACCGAAGAACTTCGCGGTTAAATACCGCTCTTCCTCATTATGTATTCAGACGTGATTCTAAAACTAAATTCTGGGCGGAAGTAGTCAGTTGAAGTTAAGAATTGATAGGAAAGGATGTTTAACTCAAAATTTAACTGTTAATAAAATTAACATAATACTTACAAGTTTTTCAGTTTTTATTTAGATGATACGCGTTAGTCGAAAGGTTGAGTACCTCTGCTCTAAAACATTCAAATCGTATTTATCGTATACACATAAAATTTTGTGCCACTTAAAAAAAAAAAAAAAAAAAAAAAAAGCGGAATTTGATGGATATGTGAGAACGTTATCATTCATCAAACGAACCGAACTGACACTACTAAAAATGCATCCTAAACTTGAACTGTAGTCAAGAGATATAATGCCAACTACGCACTTCAGTTTTATTTGCATCAAAAACAGGCAAACCACCAACGAAAGGCCGATACAAAAAATTCAGAAGTAACCACTGCATCCAATAATTAATGAACGTAATTTCTTCTTTACCAAAACCTAAAATATTTACTTTTGCTTCAATGCATTTATTATTTAGTTAATATCTTAAAATACATTTTATGGTACATATAACCTTAGTTCTAACATGCGTTTGTTATTAGGTTTTTGAGAATGTCCCTGGGAGAATTGCAATTTTTACCTCCAAGCCTGGTCATGATATTTGCCTGTGAAAAAGTGTGTCATGACGAATGCATGTGTGATAGATGTCTTATAAAATGTGAGTACTTTATCTGGAAATAATTTAATTGCACTTGTAAAAGTGTAAAGCAGTGTTTCAGAATGAGGTGTGTCACGAAATTTCCGAATTTAAACGGACATTAAAAATTTTGCTCCCATTTTTGACTTATATGAACTAATTAATTTCTGACTTATATGAACAAATTATTATGTTTATATGAACAAATATTTTGAGCTCTAAAAATGATACAAATCTAATTTAATATAATGCAGTTGTTGGAATTTTGTAAAGTCACCTCATGGCAAACTTTGTGGAACGCACCAAGCACAGATTCCAATTAATAAATGAAGAGGTGCTCCATATTACAGCTGTCAGTCGAATGGTTTGGGTTCATTAAATAGTTTGTAATAAATTTGATTTTGTTAAATATAGTCGATAGTTTGGATGCTGTTATGTCAACTATAAGACCAATTCATTGCAAACTCGATGGAACTTGCCAAGCACAGACCTCAGATTCATAAGTTTGTCTTAACACAGACGTTAGTAAAATGGTATGGTTTCGTCGAAATTTTGGATCATAGAATGGCTTGGGTGTTGATCTGTCAACAATATGACTGTAAGTGATTTATGTTATTCAATTTTTAAGACTTGAACCGTTAGCCTTCACTAGGATGCAAAAGGGATGAGTGAGTATTTTAGGGGAGGGTTTCGAAAGTTATAGCGATACGGTTTTCGGCAGCGATGATTACAAATTCCTTTTCTTCCTCCTAGCTCTATCTGTTAATATTCCGGCTATCGTCATTTTGCTAGACGATGTGCCATTAAAGATTTTAACCAGCTTAGTTAGGCCAAATTTGTGTAATCTCCGGTTAAGATACATTTAAACTGTAAACTCAACTTTATGTCATCTTACTACCTACAAGTTTCGGAATTGTGTTTGTGCGAAAAAATACAGCTTAGGATTAAAGCTTCTTTATATGGACTAATTTACGATACGAATAACTTTGAATTCTCAACCTCGACATTCTGCAAATCCTCCCAACATTAAAATTTACTTTAAGGAGTCTATAAACAGTCAGCTAACAGTTTTAACAGCTTATCTTTCTTCGGTAGATGCATTAGCTAAGTTTTGCATTAGCGAACTAGAAGAATTAGCGAAATGTTTTCTCCAATAGCAAAGGAAATTTTCATCTTCTCCATGAAAAAATCCAAATTAAAATTTCTCTTGGTTATATATGAAAACACACGCAGGGAATGAAGGATATGAAGACGCCGAGTCCCTTGCTAAAGGTGCAGCTACTGCTTTTGATTTAGAAGATATAAACTTAAAATGGCTTGAGTCATACCTAAAAGAAGAAGCACACAAAAAAGTAAATCAAATCTGGTGGAACTATAGGAATTCCCAACGTAGGAGAACGTATGAACTAATTGACGTAATAAACGGAGTTTTTTCAGTAACCCCTGTTAAGGAAGTTCATATCTGGACATGACCCTTCCGCGCTTATTACTACGAGAAAAATAGCTCTTCCTTAGACAAAGGCAAAGGTGGAGGTTTCCGTCGAAAGAGGATCTTCAGAACACTACCTCTTCTCATGCCCATTAACACAAGTACATCACAGCGTTAGAGAAACTACAAACGAACTCGAGTTTCGAAGATACAAATAATCTAAAATTTTATCACAAAGTTAACAATATTGAGAAATACGTTTCGGAACAAGGGCAAGATATTTGTGAGTAATAACTGTTACGAAAAAGTCTTTCTATTAGTTGTAGAGTCTTTAGGTTATTTTGAAGCAGACGACGGGAAAAATGTGCAATGCCCTTGTCGGAACTCGAACCCTGAGCCTCTCGAATACGCGTATAGTATGCTTCCAGTTAAACAAAGGAATCATGCGGAAAGGAGGGATAAACACCTTATAATCTATATCACCATATGATAAAGTCCTGGTGTCCCGTATGCTTATTCCTGTCCTGTTTGTTTGAACTGCCAATATTTAGCTATCTTGTCCACGCATCCATTGGTGAAGCATCTACATGTTGTAAGAGTAGCAGAAATGAAGATGCCGGGAATGACAAGGTCTACTTATTCTAATGAGATATTGGTTAATAAACGAGACATTAGAGTTCGTATGATTGGATATTTAAAAAAAATTATGTCCTGGTATCAGTTCAATCATACATTTGACAGTGGAAAAGTAAATGTTACTACAAAAACATGTACAAAAACATGTTCAAGACACATTTTGATATACATGTTTCTTCAAAGGGAACAGTTTCTTGCTGCTTTTAAAATGCTGTACTTAAAAACTTGGAGATTAGCGCCTAGGAATTAGATGCTCATTGGAGTCTGTGAAGAGCATACTCAAACTGAAAGCTCATCTTAAATGTTTAGGTAAGTCTGAATTATATAGATTTTTGCCTTTAGCCAAGAATGACTTATAGTTAATTTGTATTGTTTAAAAGAATTGTATATTCAGATAGGAAGCTATATATGAACATATACTGGACGATGAAATTTTGGTAAAATAATGTTAAGATAAATTATTTTAATAAAATGCGTTGAGTTCTTAATACTATATCAAATGTCATTGTTATTACTCCACTATGTTAACTTTTAACATTTGAGGAACGGAAGTTATATATACAGGTGCACTTTAATAAAGTATATCTTCAGATTTAGGGGTTGCGTGACTGCAAGAAAACATTTAGTTGAACACAGGAAGAAAAACAGAACATCAAAAACAGGAGAATATATTGCTGAAAACAATTTTTATTTTATTTTACGTATAAAATAGTTATAAAAATTATTAATTAATATATACAATATTCCGCTCTATAAAAGTACGGTTTTCATAATGAAAAAGAAGGAACGCTTTCTAACCTCAGTTTCAAAGAAGTATTTGTGAAAAGTTCACAGAACCGAAGAAAGAAGCTACGAAAGTGATTTTATTTATCGAGCAATAACTTCTACGACTTATCAAAATTGCTCTTTTAACCTGCAAACTACTATAAATAATATTTTATGGAAATGAAATCACATTTTTCGAGAAATATGACTCATTTGGAAGATTCTTCCTTACATCGCACCTATATCTGTATCGAAGGCGCACATAGATATTAACACAAACGGATCAGTACCGCTGAGTTACTGTATTTGGCGTTATGTGCATAGTTGTGAGACCAAATTGTTACTGTTCATCACAGATAAACATATTCCTGTTTCCTGCAGGAAAAATTCATGGCTGTGAAAATGGATCTTTATTATGGACGCTTACGACATACCTCTTATCTCGTAGTTTAATTACTTTCATTCCTGAAGTACCATCATTGCTTTGGCCAGTCATTTTTTGGAATACATCTAAAGGAAATTTGACAGGTTGAGTTATATAGTAAAATCTTACTGTTTGATTTTTACCGTCAATCAACATCGTTGTTTCAATCACTTTGACGGATTCTGAACTCTCGATATTCACAGTCTCTGATTTTCCAGATGTAAAAGAAGATCCTTCCTGTAAAGGCTCTAATCGGCGCCTTGGTGATTCTGTAGCTTTTCTCATATCAATTTCATTTGTATCAATGCTCAAAGTGGAAGATCTTTGTGAAGTAGTTTCTTCAGCTGGTGTTGGCGTAGATTGGCTTGTAGTAGAAGCAAAAGTGGACGTGCTACTTGTCGTAGACATTGTCACTGTAGTTTTCGGTACCATTATTGTCGTAGTAGTTGTAGGTTTAGGAGTCGTAGTTGTTGTTGTCGTTGTAGGTTTAGGAGTCGTAGTTGTTGTTGTTGTCGTCGTAGTAGGTCTAACAGTCGTCGTCGTCGTAGTAGGTCTAACAGTCGTCGTCGTCGTAGTAGTAGTAGTTGTTCTCGGAGTAGTAGACAAAGTTGTTGATGCAGTTGTGGGCTGGGTGGTAGAAGATGTAGCGATAGAAGACATTTCATCCTTTCGGGCAGCAATTCCGTCACTTTCACGCTCTCGTTCAGAGCTGCTTCTAAATGTAGTTCTTCTGCTTGTAGTGCTAGCTGTTGTTATGTCGCCCTGTCTTTCTATAGGCGTAGTAGCTGTAGTTGACCCCTGAGTGAAGGCGACTGAAAAACCTGGATTTCTGGCATTTAGTCGAGCTCTTGTTCGTGGTCGAGTGGTCGTTGTAGTTGTAGTCGTCGTTGTGGTGGTACGAGCAGTCGTAGTAGTCGGTCTTCGAGTAGTTGTGGGTCTTGTTGGGGGAGGTTCAGTAAAAATTATTGGCTTAGTTTTGATTTTGAATGTCGGTTCGTAATGACTACGATGTGGGTTCAAATGACTATGGCCCTGACTGAGATCGTAAGTGTACTCATGAGGAGGAGCATGGTGCTCTATTGCACGATGTTCTACAGGATAATGTTTTGCTGCTGCATATTCAACTGGATAATGGGGGTCTGCAGGATAATGATGTTCTACAGGATAATGCTCTACGACATGTCTGTTATATGATGGTGGTGTTTCAGGATCAGAAAAGGCATCTGGTGGAGGGAAAGGTTCTAAATCGTGTTCATCATCATGATGTTTCTTTTCAAGAGGATCTTTTGCGTTACTTGTTATAACAATTTTTGGGTTAATGTGGAATCTAAATTTTACGGGAGGAAGTCTTAAATGCTTATCTACTATTTTGAGATCTGGACTTGGCTGATTATAGCTAAGTTGAAATCTTTTCGGTTTGGGTAGTTTAATAATATGATGTTCTATCTCAGGGGGATGATGATGATATTCGACATGCTCATGTGGCTCATGATGATGGCCATCATTTGTATGGATTTCTATCGCGGTTCCGTGGTGTTCTTCGACTACCGCTGGCTGTTGAGGCACATGGGTATATTCAACTTGATGTGGCACAGCATCATGAGGATATTCAGCTGCAGGCTGCTGATATTCAACAATTGTTTCTGGTGGTTGTTGGTAATCTACAACAGTAGCTGGGTGATGATGTTGTTGATGATATTCTGCTGGGGGATAAGGATGTCTGTTATGATCTTGATAGTAGTGTGTAGGAGGTGGATGATGAGGATTACGTGCATCAGCTGGATATCCTTGAGTTTCCGTGTCGTTTGTATCGGGACGTCTTTGCCCAAAACCTTGTTGTTGCCCATAAACAGGCTGCGGTCCATCATATCCTGGAGGAGTTGGATAAGGAGATGCTTGCTGAATGGGATAATATCCTTGGCGATGAGGAGGTCTTACAGGACCTTGAGGAGGTCTTACATGACCCTGAGGATGTCTTACAGGCCTTGCAGTATTGGCATAATGATGATTTGGCGGAGGAGGCGGTCTTGAACTGACCGTTTGGCTAGCAGATCCGAACATCTGCCGGAAAGGATCTGGGTCATTCTTATACTGTTGCTGGTTTGACTGACTGTGTCCATCATTCGCTAAACCGAAAAACTGTCGGCTCATGTCATCCAGAAAATCTGATTTAGTGGGCGTCGAAATTGTGCATATTATGAACAAGAACACAGTGAAGAAGCGACATATTTTTCCCTGCAAATAAAATAAGAAATATTAATTTTAAATATGCATGAGAACATAATTTTGTTTTTAAAGTTTTTAAGGATTTCTATTTATAAAGCGAGAAAAAAGATTTTGCTTTAAATTTAATTATAACTATCACTGAAAATACAGAATGAAAATTAATTTAAAGTATAAAATAATGAAAAAAATTATTTGTAACAACGACAAGAAAGTTAGTCTCTCTAGCTGTGAAATTCAAAGTATATTTAATTTGACGTAAAATTTAGAATGTTTGACAAGAAAAGAAATTCGCTAATAATTTGTTTCATTAGTTCTTTTCTCATATTCATAGATAATTTATGAGTTCATTAGAGAATGAAATATGTAGAACAGATAATGCATTTTAAATTAGCATTGTGTGAGACGCATCATTCGATATTTGAATGATCGATACAAGATTCTATCATTCCCAAAGTTAGGATCATACGCAGCAAACTGAACGTACAGTATTATTGCTACTAAAGCTCTCAGCCCAATTGTTCTCTTTCAGAAAAAACCTTTTGTAGAGATAAGGAAATCTACTGCGATAATGCTGTTTTACTAGGTTGGATCAAATAGGGTAATATTTACTGTTTTATGGTAGATTTATGTCTCGGTGGAACAACTTAACCCTATGGTAACTCTATATTTAACAGCTTAACTTCAGAAGAGTCTTTTTAAATTAATGAGCTTACAGAGTCATTAAGTTTTATGAATGCTGGAACGTGAAAAATGTGCAATGTCTTCTCCGGGATTCGAATTTCGGACCTTCCGAATATGCGTCCAGCGTCCCTCCAGTTATACCCCGAAGGCATGCGAAAAGGAAGGAGAAAATGCCTTATTAATTTATTACTAGAAATATGTTGCTGCGTTTTATTTATGATCATTTAACCTCAGTTATATAATGTTAAGTGATATAACATGAAACTAAGGTTAAATGTTGTATAATGTAACCTTAGTTATTTGTAATTCTTTTGTAAGATCTGTCTCTGTTATTCTACATAAACTAAATTAGATCCTAGAATGAACCTGGCGAATTCTCGCATAGGTGTGAATTAAATACCAGCACAGAAGAAGGGTGAAAATAACCCTTTATTAATTCCAACTAATTAACAGAAAGGCACGGACTTCGTGCGTTACAAAGACACCGACCACTTGCGGTGGAAACTAAAACATAGAATATAATAGAAGTCAACCTGAAATAAATCGTGTAAGAGCGCACTTAAGTTTACGCCTAAGAGGTGCACTCACAGGAATCTAACCGGCGTGATACTAATCTGATGAGGCCTAGAGGTTTACTAGAGTGACCGCGAAATAACAACGAAACGTGCGCTTGGCTAGCGAAACACGCTCTGAATAAACTGAGATATTCACACGTTTAAATAGCACTTCACTTAACTTTAAATTTACATCCTGGCGAATAAATGTGAGGGGAAGTTGAGAAGTGTAGAACAGGTATCAAACTTAAAAGAAATTTGTTATGCAAAATAAGGTAAAACCCTACAATTTAACCTTAGTTATATGTAGATATATAAATTTCTAACTAAAGCTAAATGATAATATGTTATAAAAACATAATTATGACTATTCATTTTCTCCAAGAAAATGGCAAGTATGAATCCATGATACGAACAAATAAAGATAAATAAAAAAGATAAATAAAGATAAATAAAATTATTGAAAAGTTAAGGCGTGTGTAGGCATACTAGAATTCTACGCATTAATAAATAAAAAGATCTAATTTCTCAGAATGAAAAAAAATAATATAATAAAATAAAATACTACAAACTTGGAACACTAAGCAATGCTCCACATACGCACACACACACATATTATCAGTGAACTCATATTATCAAATGCAATTACGATACCAAACACTACGTAATAAAATATGAGGTAAACGTTACTTAAAGGGTTAAAGTTTACAGTTTTGCTACTGTTGAGTAGATCGTCGGGCTATCGATATACATCGTAAGTCGGAAAGCGTTATAAACATATCAAAACCAAAAAAATAAAAATAAAAATGCAATTTAAATGAAAAATGATGTCTTAAATATAATTCACAATTAAAACAACAATACAAATTTAAAATACACAAACGATATGTTAAATATTACACATAAATAAAGTTACATTACTGCTCGGCTTCACACACAACCTCGTTTTCCCTTTTACACAGCGATCAGCATTCGCTCGAAAAACATCAAAGAATTCCACAAACTCGGTGTCCATGTGCTCTTCAATCTATTTTCACTTAAAGAAAAATCACAGAATTGCTCAAACAAGGCATTGCGCACCCCATTGACTTTGCCCATGTGCACATCGATCCGTTTTCAATATTAAAAACATTCCAGAATTGCGCAAACTCGGCATTGCGCACCATATTGGCTTTGCCCATGTGCACATCGATCTATTTTCACTTAAAAAATATCCCAGAATTGCACAAACTCGGCATCGCACACCACCTTGGCATTGCGCACCACATTCGCTTTGTCCATGTGCACATCGATCTATTTTCACTTAAAAAACATCCAAGAATTGCACAAAATCGGCATCGCGCACAACCTCGGCATTGCGCACCACATTGGCTTTGCCCATGTGCACATCGATCTATTTTTACTTAAAAAATCAGACATTGAATAAATTCTCCATTGCTCATTAATCAGAAATCTGTTTTCACTTAAAAAATCCAGAGTTGCAGAAACTCGCGAGTAACCAACTCCATTGATTTGAGTTGTCGAATTATCACAAACTCATCACAAACCAGGAGTTCTTTCGAACAGACCTTGAAATGCCTACATTCGCCTCCAGTAACTCTACACATCCACTCTAAACCGTCCATACGGTTTTTTTCGCTTTACCAGTTTCATATTTGTTCCACAAATTGGGCACTTGTACAATATTGCAATCAAACGTTTCTCCATACACCACTCAATAACGCTCTTTTTACCTCTTCGCTCCATCTGATAAAAAAAAAAAAAAAAAAAATCCAGATTCAGATACTCATCCATTCTGCAGTAAGCACCGATTTTGACACACTCATCAATAATCAAAACATTCTTTAAGCAAAATAATTCTTTTCTGTATTTTCAGAAGTTACGGTTATAATTTTTAATTCATGCATTCAATATTTTCAATCGTTTGCTAATGATTGTTTTCAGTCGTTTGGTATCTTAATAATACATTTGTGAGAGATAATTCGTTGCGTTAACACTACCACACAAAACACAAAAGTAGATTTATAGTTAAAAAAATCTCGCGCAGAACATTATAAACCTACCATTTCAACTCAGTTAAAATATAATTTAAGTTTTCTTTAAATACGAAGCTATAGCATACTTATAACTTGTTTTTAAGAAGAGGTGTAAACAATATTACGTCATAAAAAGGCGTGTCCAAGCATAAGAGAAGTAAACTGATGCAACCTATTCTGCGATTTAGCCAATATTTGTATCAGGGATGTAGCTTATTTCATTGTAATTTTTTTCCTCTTGAAAATATAAGATAAAATATCATGGTACTTTTCCGTTTTGCCGGCGCAAGCGATAAAGTCGCCAATAATGGTACAACCGATGCCAAACGGAATATTCTCGCTGGTAACCTTTTACGCCTCATTTTCAAAACAAGTCTCAGCTTTTTCTTATCAGATTGATTGTTTCTTTCAATAGTGGCATAATTACATAGAATTTTTATCAGATAGTTCAGTTTTATGTCTAAGGCCATTTTCGGTAATTAAGTCGATCAGGATGCAATCACAGCGCTTACCCGAAGCCGAAAATATAGAAAATGTAAGTCAAGGGTTAAATTCATCAATTCTAACGTAAATGCATTAGCGAAGTAAAGCACTGCAGCTTTACGTAATTTCTGAGTAAGCTATTCGTACGAATTGATATATTTCTTGCATTTAAACTTGTGTTCCAAATTAAGATTTAACTTGAAATTAATGTAGATAATTACTGCGAGCATTAGATTTTTGTAGAGTAGTTTACGTGAGATGAGATCGCTTGGGGTCAGGTGATATGAACCGGCGAATCAAGATGTTGAACCATGAAAGCATAGTAAATTCTTAAATTAATGTCTTTTTACAAATTTACTGTCTTTATTTATTGGCTTTTTATAAAATTTTAAGCGATATTAAAATGTTTATGCCTTCAAAAAAGAATTCTTAGAATTAACATTTTTTTAAATATTTTTTATGTGTATACTGTATGTTGTCGCCAATAAAGTCTGCTTGGCGAGATTTGCGCCTAAACGGAAAAGTACCAATATCATTAATTATACTTTGCTTTTCAGAAATTTTTGTATTCTTTTATGTTATTTATTGCTCTTTTCACTGTTTTTAAGATATTGAAAAGTTTTGAGTGATTTTTTTAGAAAACAAAATTCTTAACCTCCTTTATACCATTTGAGTTCTTAAGATTTTGCAAAGGGAAGTTGATTCATTTATTTATTAGGATAATTAATATTTGTATTAAGGGATATTGCTTATTTCATTGTAATTTTGTTATACGTAATAACTTTTTTAGGAAGTTGTTCTGCAGAGTAAAATTCTACGCAGTTTTTAAATTTAACGTTTGGTGTTTCCTTCAGCCATTTTTTCGGTACAATTGAAAGCCAGACGAAAGCTGGCAGCGAAGCTGCTAGTTTAATAAATAAAGGTAACACGCAAAACGTTAAAAAACGCTCCTTTGGACGTAATTTAAAATTTGAAACATTTCAGATTTTTTTTTTTAAATTTTTGTTTTATTTAACTTTTTCCAATATTTTTTTGTAAATAAATAACTGACGATTTTTTTTGTTTCAGTGTATTAACATAATCGTTCAATCATGCATAATATCATTTTACGTATTACTTCATATTCAGTATTAGTGACTTATATAAAAATTAAAAATAATGTTAGAAAGCAAGATAATTCTATTTGCGGATGCTATTAAAAATGTGGTCATGAAAGATGTGAAAAATTAACTGTAGTGTACTGACTTTAACTGCT